TCCACCGGTGTTAATCCCTAACTTCAACCAATCCACGAAATTGCGTCAGTGGTCTAATGGTTAAGTGCTCGCGCGCGAAACCAGTAGGTCCGGGGTTCGAATCCCGCGGGGTGCGGGACCGTGGTTGCGCGCCGCTGAGGGGTCCCATACCAGGATGAAACGGCCTTACGGTGCTTCCAGGTTTTTCATGGTGGTCTAGCTTCAATTGACTCATAACTTCAACCAATGAAATTTACAAAAATCTCCACAAAACCCATTTTGATAATTGAAATTTATGTTCTTTTGTGAGTAATCGGCTAATTGTAGGTATTTTGTTTACATATTGACTGCTCTGAATTTCGTTCCCAGCCATTCTCGACCACCAATTTCTTGTAGCAAATGGACTTTCAAAAAGCTCGTCAAACCTCATTTCAAACGCTAGATTCATACTTACGTTATTATTCGAATTTATGATAATTTATGTTTCTTCTCCCTGTCGTGTATTTAAGCCTTTGTTCAGATCCCTTTTAACCTCACTTTGTGTTTTTCAGTCTTCCTCGTCTGAGCTTTTATTATGTGACAATTATTAAGACTTACTTTTTGTCACCTGATTTTTCTGTGGCATGCTGCTGGGCTATTGACAGTAATGTTGTGCCAGACTAAGCCCTAAGTCACGGCGTGGTTCACTGTATGACTGCTTACCTTTGACTGTCTGCTAAGAACGATCGCTGGAATCCCTGAAGATAGATATTTGATCCCATCTTGTTGAAAATATTTTTAATAATTCTCGAGTATTGCCCTTTTGTGTATTACTTATTCCTTTTGTTGTTTAGCACTCTAATTAAGGTTAGAGAAACCCTTGACTATATAATACAGACTGTACCATTTGAGATACTTTGTATTTTCGATAAAATATGTTTTCTTTCTGAAATTAAAACCGTCTAAATTTAGCACAAATTTGTGTTTTGATATAATATAATACGAGTAACTCAAGATACTTTTGTGCGCTATACAGAGAAACGTAGCCTGTTCTAATTGAAAAAATTTTGGTTCATTAGTTCTACATTCAAACCGGATATTGGTATCTCGGTTGTTACACTTGTTCTGAGTTCAAAACACGCCTCACAAACTATTTACATATTCCGCGTTTCACCCGTTTCTTCCTTTCCTTCTTTAAAGTCAACTCAATACTCTTCAAATATTTTTCAATTATAGAGAACTTTTGTGTTTGAAATATGGCAAATATTATGCTCACATTGTTGAAACATGTGTATTATTGGATTTCTGAAGAGACCCAAGATGGTTTCTTCACAACATTTAGATGCTCATAAGTCGTTTGTAAATAATATTAATAACTATTGTTATTCCACTTATAGGATGAGCATGTGGTGGTTCCCAAACAAAAGGAGCTTACACAAAACATATTGATACACTAGGTTAACAATGATATACCAAAACAAATTAATGGTAAAGAAACCTAGATGTCTGTCCGTTAGTAAAAACAAAGGTAATAAAACACCGTTAGCAATACAAAAGGTATATTAAACAAACAGACGCTAACAGTTACTATTGAATGAATGTTACTTGTTAACTGCCACGTGAGAACAACGACCACAAACTGAGTTCACTTGATTGACAGGTGTTCCTCTGCAAGTGACTGCACCGATGACGTAATGAGGAAGACGGAGTCCAATAGTATTATACAATGGTAAACCGCGCCAAAAGTCCAACGTTGAGTCGGAAGGCCCATAATGATGTTATAATACTATTATAGTCTTCAATCAAAACGGCGGCCAATAAAACAGAAGAACAAACGGCGTAGATAGTGTTTCATATTTTAAACAACGCGGTAGTAGAATCGTATATCATTCATCGAAACAAATATTATCGTCTTTTTAACAAGTGATACAGCAAAACATTAGATATTGAATAAAAATGTGGTTACAAATAAGGTGTGACAAATTAGAGAAAAAATATGGTTTTTATTTTTGTTGTTACAAAAATCACTAAATATATGTCACCATAAGCATCTCTTGCATCCAGAATAAACCACCCTTCGAAACAAAGTAAAAGGGGATCCTATTGATTGTTATACCATGCTATGTACCCAACAGTCATAACAATGAGGATAACAAAGATCATTTTTACAAGAAGCTGTAGTCGTTTGTAGAGAAGTAATAATGGATGGACCTGAACATCCTGATAGGAGGTCCAAACGCCAAAGTTTGAATGGATGACATCGGATGTAAAAATATCATGGGACGACATGGACTGGATGAATAAATCAACAGCATTACTCTGAGGAAGGAAATGAATCAGATTCAACCAAACAACGATATAAACCATTCAGTAGCAAATGCGCTTGAGGGTTAAGAGCAGTAATTCTGAAGCTGTACCATTTACAAAATACTCGTTTGTTCATATAAGCTCATACGAGTTAACATAAACATGGGCAATCGGTCCCAAATCAAATATCAAACTACCGTTGCCTTTTGTTAGCCGAGAGCTCTTCGAACTCCTCTTGCTTTGTCATTTTTTAAGACAAAATCCTAGGCTATCTTCAAGAGGACAGTAGATTCTCTTTATCTTCTTTGCCAATATTATTAGCAATATTAACAGAACTACAAAATTTTTTGCCAAACAACATATAGTCTGCAGGCACTCACATCAATTGTGGTAGAAATCAAGGCATACCAGAGTTTCACGATTCGTAACAAACATTGGAATAGTTGTATATCACCGATATTATCATATATATCGAAATTGCTTAGCTGATAATTCCTCCTTCTGAATCCACTGATGCATTGAGCTTTTTAGAGTGTCTGAACCCGAAAACCATTTATATTCAAACCTACTGAGCTCACTGATCTGCCGTTTTACCACTCATTGATCTATGCTCAAAAGTATGTAACACAATCAGGTACTATTTAAACTTCCAGAAATCGTTAATACAATCATGGAGAATCATGGGTTTCATAGTAAGTAATGCACAGTCGTTGGTAAACTGATTTTAAACCATTACACGATCATATTCTTTTAGTTATCTGGGCAAATGAACAACTCAGAGACTTATCGTCGTGCTTATTTGTGAATTCATACACTACCGATCAGTTGGGTCTCTAAGAAAACAGATAGTCTTTCCACTCATCGATAATAGTGTAGCGATAAATAAATCCACAAAATAAATAGCTCTGTAAGTCTTCGACATTGGATGCTAACCACATTAGTTTCTAATGGACTCACCTAGGTGAAGGAGCGCGGTCATGTATCCGCACCAGATCACGAGTGGGAACGCCATGCCCAACAACCCCTACAATCGCTAGCCAGATTAGATCAAACGATCCTCGATATATTAATAGCATATCAAATATATCTTCGAACCTCCTCGCTTCTGTCTTTTGATTTCACTTGGTGGGTACGATTCATATTAGGTGTTACTGGTTAAAACGTTGCCAAACTCCGAATACCTGTGGCATCTTCAATAGCCACGATTTAAATCGCGTAAACAATCGCCTGGTAGTCAGGTAGATATAACAAACATAAACATTCGTTCTCTCATCGTACATACACATGAAGCATCAACTTATATTCTTTATGATTAATTAGGTGACATATGTATAACAAAACAATATTGTCCATAATCAACTAAATTTCTCAAACCCCATTTTTTCTCCAGTTTCAAGGTCGTTGCAAATTTTAAATCAATTGGACTATGTTTATCAATTTAGTCCGTGTAATGACCAAAATTCCAGAATTCTATCTGGACTCAGGCTTACGAACAAATGTTTACTTAATTGGGCGAAAATATGTTCTGCTGCATAACAAATGAAGCCTTTTTAAGTGACTCATAATAAATTATATCAAAGCACGGACTGTGTGCTGAAGCTAAACCAGTGTAATTTGAGAAAACAAGCAAACAATATGAAAAGTATAATATACCCCAAAACGTACAGCCACTGTTATTCAGTTAAATGTTCCCTTAGCACAAAATAACATGCATAACAGCAAATAAAATGGTTAATAAATAAACATCCAGTACTTGAAAATTCACTAGAATATTCTAAACAAATGAGACCAAATATCTATTTGCGAAGATTCGGCTTATCTTTCCCAGCAAACAATCAAATGCCAACAATTATGAGCCGAGTCACACCACAACCGTGCACCTGGTCAAACACAATCTCGTTGTGAATGGTCCGGTATCATGCAATAGCAAAATTAGGTAACAAAGGTTAATTCTCACATAATTCAAGTAATAAAAACCCCAAACAAAGAAGACAGAAGGACATGGAGCGTGATTACAAGAAACCTGGGTAGAAGTTGAAATACATGATAGGGGAAAATCTGGAAGAAATAACAAAACCGTTCAATAACAACTTCGAGGGTTTTCAGCGTATTCTTTCCATTACAGTCTTTATGAGACTCATACACAGACGACGAAATTACTTCTGTTTCGACATAATCCCCTGAAGAAACCTCTACTGCATCTGAACTCACTTCTGTATTAAACGTAGATGGGGGCCAGTCTCACTATTAGCAGATAATTCAGTCTAATTTCACCTCGGCAGCGCAACTGCCATCTAACAAAGCAAAGGGACCACAATCTATTTAAAAGCCTGCCTGCCTTTAACAGAATGTTTTTCAAGTGGCTTATTAAAACGCTCGTACTCATACATATGTAAATATTCTAGATCGTGTAACACATATTGGGTTTGGAGAAAATTTTACTTGACGTACTAGTCTATTTGTTCCCCTAAGACTCAACCAAACAAGCAGCGTACGTCCACCAAACGTATGTTTTCTACCTCCCAGACATTGTTCCAAAACTCAGCGTGCGTCTGAAGTATCACATTCAATCAAGACTATTAATCGATTGCTTCGCAACCTCGGAAAACTTGTATCTCGTAAATACTTCCACGGTCCCAACTGTTGTTCGGTTCGTAGGTTTGTGTCATCTGTCAAAATGCTGTTGACCGTATAAGCTCTGCTGATTGATGTATGACACACAACCATAAAATGCCATGCTTAAGCAACCTTTGTATTGTTCACAAAATATTTGTGTTTTTGCATTCGTAAGCGAGGACTAAAGGCAACGACGTTCGTTCTTGATAATCGCTTAATACTATCTGCGAATTAAGTGGACATACGGCTCCATTGTCATCCGAGGTATCTACATTTTTTGAATTGGTAACTTGGTTAAAATGTTAGGCGGAATTCTTGATGTCTCTATAACAGCGCGTCGTACGGAATCCAGCTTATTCGTCTCATTTGCTCCACAAATCTCTTTCATCTAAATTGTAATCAAGCGCTTTTGAGTTTTAGTAAATAACCATTGTGTGTTCCATTATTAAATGTCGAAAAATATATTTCTACGAAGTGTCTAGATTTAGTATCTCTCGTTCACTCATTTATCTTTATCATAGCTTTACAACTTAGAACAGGTCATATTGCTATCGAGGTCAATTTATTTACTGTAGTCTGGCCAGGAAACACTGAACTATATCCCTCAAATTGTCTGCTCATATTGTCACATGCGTTAATTATTCAAAAGTTCGGCGTCTCATAGGTCGTCCATAAACTATTGTCTCACCAAAAGTTCTAGTTTAGTACTTATCACTTGCGTAGAAAGTCATATTCAGGCTGTAATTCAATCATAAGTGGTTCCCGCTTACTTTTTCTGACCATCTTCCTTTGTTTTCCATTTTTCAGGTTTTATATGTTTGGAAAGATCATTTTGGTAGCTAATGCAATATCTCCTAACATGTTTTTATCCTGCGACTTATGCTGTATTTTAGCAATGAGGTATGTTTTGTTTCTCGCGTCCTTGGTCTACTCAATAAAGTTCACATTTATAGGCTCACACGGTGTCTATTATTTCATATGGTTCTTTAGATCCTTTTCAGAAGTTCCTAGTATCCCTCCATTTTACCGTATTTTACGAGTCTCGAATAAGATTTTTGAAGGGATTCTGAGTTTTCTTAGGAATGGGTGACGGGCAGCGAAAGTAATGTAAACAGTTTTGAACTGATATTTCTAGGTTCACTTTTAAGCCTCTCAAGAGCACTCCCAAAGCGACCACTCCATGCATTTCGAGCTCAGTATGGATTACAATTTCTGATTATTAAATCTTTAAAGGCACCCAGTATTCCAATGCATAGGCCGCTTTTCACGACTTCTGATAACTCCCCAACATGCAAGGATGATAATTCAACAAAAGTTTCAGCTAAATTTCTCCCTACAGCTACAGTGACTCCAATTAGGTGAGTTTTGTCATTCGTATGCTTAGTTACAGGAACAACAATGATGTAGTTAGGTCTCCATCCCCTGATCTCGACGTTTCAATTCACGAAGAGTCATTAGGTAGGTTTGTTAATTAAATATAAAAGCTATAGAAGTTCCTTCACCCTCCTGGTTTGACGAATCTGAACCAATAGAAAATCCCAGTTCTACACCCACCAAAAACTTAACACTCCATAGGCCAACAGATAAAACATCACCGGTCTCGGTTATTCCTCGATCTTCTAGCTTGGAGTCTTCTTGTATGAAAAGTGTATCTAAACCATGTCTGCAAAATGAGTCTCGAGTTTTTCAAGCACTCAGCACAGAAAACTCAAATTTAAGATCTCATGATGACTCGGTTTCAATACCTCATTCATTTTACAGTTCAATCTGTAAAGCATGTGACTTATTGGAGAACTTACCGATGAACAAATTAATGTATTGTTTTGGAGATGAATTATCCGTAATAACAAAATTACTGCATGAAAGGTTGGTCATTTTCAAGTTAATAATACTTTTTGTAGAAGCTCAAACCCAAATATTGTGAGCGGTCGCCCTCCCTCAGGAATGTTGAAGAAATTAACGTATCCGATTTCTCCTACATTCACATCTGATCAACACATTCGAAACACAAATACCTCTAAAAGGACGTTGGTCAGTACAGTTTGGTTAGCTGATTATTTTGGTTAAGCTTCATTAAAACTGTAGCTACTGTTTTAAGAAGTTATATTATGTTGGTTTCGTGTAAACAAGCCTCCTGTCTCATTGCCAGTTATCTCGCTCATCTGCTATTTCATTTCTTGCCTAGATGGGCGTTACCTCATATGCACTTGGGAATATCTTGTCCGATGATGACAGTTGGGCCAACATTAGCACTAACTCATCGAAAACCCGAGCCTTGTCGGATGTTCCTACAAAATGTTCAAGTACTAAAAAGTCAGCTACACAAAAAACGGATGATAATTGCACCATACGGCATTCGACTATGACTTTTGACTCTGGCGAAGGGAGTGCTTTCCTTCCACTTCAAGCTCAATCTAAATGGGGTAAGTGCCAAAGTTTCTTAAAATTCGCTCTTTGAATCATAAAGGCATAAAATTGTAGTAAACAAGTTTATGTTGTTACAGTTAAAAATACACGAGAGCTGTAAGAGAAATTGCGTCACTTAGCAATCGAGTTATTGTCTTAATCATTGTGATCACGCATTTTTGACCATATTCTCTTTCGATTAGATGTCCAGACCCATTGTGACGATCAATATAATCAGCCAGATGACGGCTCAACAGGCGAGTTCGATGGAGATGATCGTTTTCCTCATTCTAAACGCATGATGGAAGCATTCTCAAAAATGTTTGGTCTACGATCCTTCAGACGGAATCAACTCCAAGCAATCAATGCAGCTCTTCTTGACCGTGATTGCTTTGTAATCATGCCCACCGGTAAGTTATCATTATCTTCTGTCATTAGACTTTGTTTAGACGTTGCTGTGATGTGTGCTTTTTGCTCATATTTTTGAATCAATTGTGTCACGTTTTTAAACATGAACTTGGTTTGTTCCCTCAATAACATTACATCACACCTTATGTATGCGATTATTGGGAAATAGTGTTCTTAAATATTAAGTGACAAGCGCTTAATATAAAGAAGAATATAAGCAATAATGGTGTTTTGCTTAAATTCCAAACCTTGTTATGCGGAAGACATTATCTCTAAAGCCATGGGTTTAGGTCTACAGTCACTACATTGTATGTGGATTATTGTATCAACTTATTTCAAACATTAGTGCACTGTAGACATCGTCAACGACTGCTTTTTACTAGTTTTATGATTTTAATCGAAGTAATCAACTGTGTCATGAAGTAAAAATATAGGTAATTCAACGGATAATGTTTTCTTGATGAAATCATTTCAGCTGTATGATCGTAAATATTTTTGTTTGATGTAAACTGACCCGAGATTTCAAGTAGTAACAGTTTGTGTAATGATCCAGAGGTTGAAAAAGAGTAGGAGGATGAATAGGAAGTGAAGACGGAGGTTGATTATGAATACAGTGGTCTTGAGTGCTGTTAGAGGTATGAGGGCGGTTATCACTTCCCGGTTGCCCACACCGTGGAAGGGTTCTTCTCTAGGTACCTGAAAAGGAAATCGGATTAGAAGTGGTCTTAATGACCTGGGAGCGTGACCGCAGTGCCCAAGGGACAACTGCTTGAGGTCGGTCACACACGACCTTTTTATGGGTAATTTTTGTGTTCGCTCCGTACTTGTTGAGACCTTACCACTGGAGACGGATATCCGTGGGATAAGGCGAGATGTGCATTTTTAGGGTCGACCTTTTCTAACCCTACCCCTCCTTGTGGGAAGGCAGCATCGCTGTTATGCTGGTTGTCTGAAGGAAACACCTTACTGCTGTCACACCTCTGTACAGTCAGCAGTACGACTTCGCCTTCGGACCTTGGGTTTGTTGCTTTTAGTCTTACCGCTCTTCAACCGACCTGTCTGACATGGTAGGATCTTGAGGAACGGTTGTTCCAGCCAGTATAGCTCGGTTGCTTCATCACGATAGGCAAGCCCGACCACCACGTCAAGGTAGCAACAGCAGTTAGGTTCTAGAACATAGGCATACTTATCGGCGTCCGACAATGGTGGTCTTTCTTGACTTGAAAGCAGAATTTGACTCGGTAGACCGCGAGATTCTGTGGCAGTGTCTGTCATTGAAAGGCGTGCCTCAGAAGTACATAAACCTTGTGAAGGCTCTTTACTCGAACACTACTAGTCGTGTCAGAGCTTATGGCGAACTGTCATCTGCTTTTGTAACCTCAGGTGGTGTCCCTCAAGGCTGTCCACTTTCTCCATTTTTGTTTGACTTGATCATAGATCTACTGATGGAAATAACATTCTTGTCTACTGAATTCTCGGGTATTGATCTCCTTCCAGGAGGTCCACTTATCGACTTAGAATACGCAGATGATATAGTCCTGTTTGGTGAAGACGCTGATAAAATGCAGAGTCTTCTGGTAGCACTAAGCAACAATGCCAGAATGTTTGGAATGCGCTTCTCTCCCTCTAAATGCAAGCTGCTGCTTCAGGACTGGCGTGCGTCAACACCTGAACTAGGGATAGGGAGTGAAGTTGTCGAATCTTCATCGACTGAGATGGTTGGGCCACATGTTACGTATGCCTGAACATCGATTACCACGACGTGCAATGCTAACCGGTGTTAGGGATGGTTGAAAGAATGTTGGGGGCGTCCAAACCAAAACGTGGCATCAGTGCTTGAAGTCACTAACTTCTGGTCTGAGCCATGTTGGTAGATGCAGACTACTTGGTTGGGGTCCGCGTGACTATCGTAACCAATGGTTGGAGATTCTTGGTGACATGGCTCAGAATCGATCACAATGGCCACGGTGTATACACCCTCTGTCTTCCCTTAAACTAAGAGATTAAAATCGCTTCATATCTTTCTTTCTACGAACTAATTCTTTCTTCCTGTACTATATCCTTATTGTAATCTTTCTTTTATATATTACCATCTCTGAATTAACTACTTTTATGAATCCGATGTCCATCTTGTTGTGTTATTGAGGTATGGCAACTTGGACCGATGCATATATGTGCCTGGTCCTACGTTGTAGCTGACTGACTGAGGAGGATGAATTTACTTTGCTGGTTAAAATGTAAACGATAAGTGTCCACTTAACAAATATGCTTGTGGGTGCTACCTTGATTTGGAAGTTAGACTAGCCTATCGTAACGACTCAACCGAGTTATATTGACTGGAATACGTATTTCTCTAGGTCCTACTATGCCAGGCAGGTCGGTTGGAGAGTCGTACAACCAAAGACCAGCAACCTAATGCCCGAGGGCGAAGTTGTACAGTTGACTGTAGAGGTGTGTAACAGGATTAAACTGTTCACCTCAGTCAGTCAGTAACAACGTAGAACTTCGTACGTACGTACATCAGTTCGAGTTGCCACACCACATTAGCACAGAGATGCAGTGGTCGATTCAAATCCCGTAGTGGTAGAGGTAATAAGAGTATAAGCAGTAATCGGGAAGATTAGTGTTTGGAGATGTTATTTAAAGAGTATAATACAGTGAAATAAATTTAAGAGGAGAAAAAAAAAGAGACAAGGAGGAATAAGGAGATTAGAATTTGGGAGAACACAAAGAGTGGATGCACCTGCGCCATTGCAAACGATTTTGAGCCATGTCATTCAGGGTCTCTAACCATCGGTTGCTATCATCTCGCGGTCCCCAACCAGGTAGTCTACACCTACCAACATGACTCAGTCCACTTGTCAGTGACTTCATGGACTTGTGCCATGTTTTGGTTTGGCCGCCCCTAGCTTTCTTCCAACCTACTCCTATACCACTGAACATAGCACGTCGAGGCAGTCGGTCGTTGGGCATACGTAACACGTGTCCCAGCCATCTCAACTGATGAAGTTTCACTACTTCATCAATTGATTTGCCATCCTTACCTAGTACCCGTTTCCTAACAACTGCATTACTTACTCGATGGTCCCATGATATACGAGCAATATTTCGAAGACACCTATGATCAAATACTAGTAACCTACGAATATCCTCTACTCTTACCGGCCATGTTTCACTGCCATAAAGTAGGACGGAACGAACTGCTGCGCAGTAAACCGTCCTTTGGTTGATAGACGGATATCTCGCCTACGCCATAAATGACGCAAGTTGGCAAAAGCTAGTCGAGCCTTCTGTATCCGTGCTGAGATTTCGTCACACACCAGACCACAAGGGCTGATGAGACTTCCAAGATAAGTGAAGCGGTCGACACACTCAACTACTTCACTCCCTATCACTAGTTCGGGTGTCGATGTAACCCAATCCTGAAGCAACATTTTGCATTTCGAGGGGAGAATCGCATCCCGAACATGCTTGCATTGTTGCTTAGAGTGGTCAGAAGACTCTGCATTTTGTCAGCGTCTTCACCAAATAAAACTATGTCATCAGCATATTCTAAGTCAACAAGTGAACCTCCCGGTAGAAGTTCAACCCCTGGAAATTTAGATGAGGAGAGTGTTATCTCTAAAAGTACGTCGACCACAAAGTTGAACAAGAATGGGAGAGTGGACAGCCCTGACGAACACCACTTGAGGTAATCAATTCTGATGACAGTTCGCCATAAGCTCTCACTCTACCAGTTGTGTTCGAGTAGAGAGCCTTTATAAGGTTAATGTACTTCTTTGGTACTCCTTTCAGTGACAAACACTGCCATAGAACCTCACGATCAACAGAGTCGAATGCCGCCTTAAGGTCGAGAAATACTACCATTGTGGGGCGTCTGAATGTGTGTCTGTGTTCTAGAACCTGACGTAGTGTGAATATCTGATCTATACAACCACGTCCAGGTCGAAAACCAGCCTGGTTTTCTCTAGTCTGCTTTGGTTAGGCGTCGAAGTATTATTGAAGCTAATATTTTAGACACTATATTAGTCAAACTGATTCCTCTGTGATTGTCACAAGAGGACTTTTGTCCTTTCTTATAGACTGGCACAATCAGTGATTGAGACCAGTCAGATGGGATTACGTCCAGTTCCCAAATTCTACCTAAGACCTCAGTTAATCTCATTGCTAATACTGGACCACCATCCTTAAAAATCTCAGGAGTAAACCTGTCAGGGCCTGCTGCTCTCCCTCGTTTCAGATTTCCTATGGCTTTTTCAACTTCGTAAAGAGACGGAGGACCTACATTAACTTGCCATTCAGGTTGACTAGAGATCGTGGGAAACCGAAGTGTGGCTGAAGGCCAGTTGAACTGATCCCTAAAGTGTTCTGCCCATCGATCCAATCTCCTGGATTGAGAATGAATAATATGTCCATCTTTCTCTGAGATTGTTTCGCTAACGGTCGGTTCCTAATTCCGGTTTCCTTAACGAGTCTGAACAATTGTCTGCTATTACCTATTGCCGCTGCCTTTTCCATCTCTCTTGCTTTCGCTACCCACCACTGTTCGCGATCATTGCGTAGACTTCTTGTCAGCTTGCGCTTAAGCTGACTCCGCTCTTCATTATGTTCAGAGCCAGGTGGAATGAGTTTCCGAGCATCTATCAGTGCGATAGATGCTGCTGAGATCCAGTGTTGCTCCCTAACCTTACGGTTTACCTTACTAGCAGATATCACTGCTGTTTCCACAGCTTTTCGGATATCATTCCATGCTGCATCGGGGTGGGCATCACATACATGGCTGCCTAACTGTTTTCCTAGTTGTTCCTGAAATATACTCTTAGCTTGACTATCATTAAGTAGGCCCTAAGAGGTTTCCTTGCAGCGTCTTTCCTACGTCCAGTAAGACGCAAGCAAATACGCGCTCGCACTAGAGCATGATCTGAATCTAGGCATGTGCTCCAGAATGAGCGACAGTCTTCTATCGAGCCCCTCCATCGGTGGCTGATAGCGATGTGATCTATTTGGGTCCAACGTTGGGACGAATTAGGGGGTCGCCATGTTAAAAGATGTTTTTCCTTATGCTTAAAGTTAGTATTTGCAAGGAACAGGCGGTTATCTGAGCATAGCTGCAACAGACGGTCGCCATTATCTGTTCTTTGAGCCACGACACCATAAGATCCACCTAGGTGTCTTTCCCTATCGCTTAGTTTACCTACTTGAGCATTAAAGTCACCGGCCACTATTACTACATCCGAGCGCTAGCTTTTCGGAGAAGGTCCGAAAGCTTTCTGTAAAACTCATCTTTTACATCATCTGAGCTGCAGTCAGTGGGAGAATAGGCAGAGACGACGAAGAGGCAACGACGAGTGTCCCTATCTTTCCGGATTCTTACTGTTCCGTTCAGTCGGACAGCGCACAAACGACTGTCTACTGGGATCCACTCTAAGAGAGCTAGTTCTGCCCTAGGACTCAATGCTATACCTACGCCGGCGAGGCCTTGGATAACCAACATCTGGAGCAATGCCGCCTTCTCACAACGGAAGGATGAGGTCATGAAAGATCGATCCCAAAAATGTCACACCTCATATTAACCCATAGATTGCCGTCTTCGGCGGTAAGGTCTGAATTGCGGAGCTAACACATGAAAAGCTTCACACAAAAAGACCGTACGTAAACGGCCCCAAGGAGATGTCCGTCGAGTTTTGCGGACACACCACCACTAATTCAAATTCCTTCTCAGGTTTCAAAAAGAAATATCGTTTCACGGTGTGAGCAGTTGTGACAACCACCCTCCTACATCTATCAATACCCGAGATCTTGTTCTCACTCAGATCCCTCTTTCATCTCTTAATAATTCTCCTATCCCCACGACTAGGCTTTCTCGTGTATCTTAGTCACCAAACGCCACCATTGCTAATGACTCGGGTTCACGAAATGTTGTTCCTGATTCCCTGAAACCAGGCTCTAGACTACATGTTGGAGCTAACAATATTTGAACCTTGTGTGAGATAAGACAATAGGCTGTCCTTAGCTAAGACTCTAGAACCTTGAGCCACTGATGTATGTTGCATCTCGGAAACCTGCATACAGGATCCAAACAGTCATTCACTTGACCTCAACTTGTCAATATAAAAAATCTGTGATTTACTGTTCGTGTATCTGAAGACCCCATTGCTGCATCCCGTAGCCTTCCAGGTGTGGAAGTAGGAGTAGCTTCCAAATAAATGATGGATTATTATAGAATGTAAATAAGGCACTGGCTCGTGAACTCATCCAACGGATTTTATCAGCTAATTTGGCTTTCGATTTCTTATATTTTGTAACTCCTCAGTGTAGTATGTTGCGCGTCCGACAACAGCTGCTACGTTGACGTGACTCGACTGAGCTATATTGACTGGAACATGTGTTTCTTTTTGTCCAATTTTAACAGGTAGGTTGGTTGGGGAGTGGTACGAAAAACCAGCACTGTAATGTCAGAGGGTGAAGTTTTACTGCTTACTGTAGAGGTGCGTAACAGTAGTAAGTTGTCCCCCTTTAGTAACCAGCATCTAGAGCAATGCTGCCTTTTCACAACGGAAGGAAGAGGTCATGAAAGCTCGATCCTAAAAATCAAATCCTACTGACTCGAGCTCGTATGAAGTATAGGGTGAATTCTACAAGAAGCATTCCAACCTTCAAAAAACTAAGCACTCTGATGCGATAATAATGTCGATTGATTGTCATGTTCAAGTAGGTAGACTAAAGCAAAGAGAAAGGAACTTAGGTGAACCTCATGGTGTCTGAGCTCATCGAACAGATAATGGCAGCCATCTGTTGCAACTATGCTCAGATACTCGTTTATTTCAAGCGGGCATCACTCACAATCAACTCAATGGTAGATTCAAATAGACCATATTGACATCATCTCTCATTGGAGAGTCTCAATGGAAGAGGAGTGCCTCTCATTCCGGAGCACACGTATAGATTGAAATCATGCTCTCGTTGGAGCACGTATTTGTCTGCGTCTGACTGGACAATTGAAAGCCGAAGCAAGAAAACCCCTCAGAGTTCAACTTAATGATGAAAATGTTAAGAGTATATTGCAGAAACAACTAGAGAAGGAACTATTCAACCATGAAAGTGATATCCACCCCGAGGTAACTTGGTATGATTTCCGGACAGCTGTGGAAACAACAGCAACATCTTCCAATAACGTAAAAATGGCTTAGAAAAGTCATTGGGTTTCAGCAAAGTCTACTAAGTTGATAAATACTCGCAAACTTAACCCTTCTTGTTCTAAACACGAAGAGGAGCGGACACAGCTAAAACGTAGATTGATAAAAACCTGTGTTATAATCGTTAGCGGTAGACGAGATTGAAAATACAGAAGGGATATGTGACAGTAGACAACTGTTCAGACTTATCAAGGAAATGGGTAGTAAAAATCCAGCTGTTAGTGGAACTATTTTGGAACAAGACGAGGGTATTATTTACTCTCAATCCTGAAGATCTGATCAATAGGGAGAACACTTGAGGAGGTGGTTCAATTGACCTTCAGTTATCCATCATCTCCAAGCAAGTTGATGTAAATCTTCCAAATCATGGGTTGAAAAGGCTACAAGTGATTTAAAGTGATGGAGACCAGCAGATCCTAGTGAAGTAACCCCTGAGATTTTTAAGAATAGTGGTGCAGTTTTAACATTCGGATTAACTGAAATTTTATCTGGAATCTGGGAAGTGAACATAATTCCATTTGACTGGTCTCGATCGCTGATCGTCCCAGCTTATAGGAAAGCACAAAAGTCCTCTTGTGACAAGCACAGAGGGATCAGTTCAAGTAATATAGTGTCTGAAATATTAGCCTCAAAAGTGCTTCAACGTCTAACTAGAGGTCGTGAAGAGTAAACCCGAGAAAACCAGGTTGGACCAAATATTCACCCTTAAGCAGGTTCTGGAACATAGACATACTACCGAGTAAGCAATGCCTGTGTTATGGATAGGGTACTAGTTAAGGATGATAAATTGACTGATAAGGTGGTTATTGAATCTTCATCAGCTGAGGTGGTTGGGACATGTGTTATATTGCCAAACCAAAACATGTCATTGGTGGATGAAGTGATTGAGGATTGGACTGAGCCATTTTAACAGGTGTAGATTAGTTTGTTGGGGTCGGGTTGATTACATAATATTGGGTAAGACCGTTAGTAATGATAATAAACAGTGGTTATGTACCTTGGTCGAACTGGCTTGAAATTATTTGGAGTAGAGCAGGTGCATCCATTGTTTGTCTTGCCTCAAATTCTGAGCCTCTGAATTCATCATACCTGTTTTCTTCTGTTTTTCTTGCACTAATCTATATTTTCTTTTCAAGTGGTATATTCGACACGTAATCACCACCGATACTGTTACTACCTCTCCTATTCTGTGATTTGTCCTCACAGTCTATTCTATCTGTGTGCTAATGAGGTATGGTAACTTGAACCTATGTAAGCATACGTGCCAGGTTATACGTTGCGACTGACTGACTGAGATATGAAGAAGATGAAACACAAACCTCAAAGATCATTGTAATAAATTAATACTAGTTATGAAAAATTGGCGAAGGGACTTAGGTTTGTGGAATGATGGGAGTTGGAACGTGTTGCTTTTTACTTACAGTTCAGGCTTGAAGTGCTGAATTACAAATGTCTCGGCAGTGCATAAGTTTTTGATCCGATCTACTTTCAATTCAATTCTTTTGACTGTGTAAATTTTTTCAATGACTATTCCTCTGGGTACTGTGCAAAGCATTGATCAGGTGGTCCTGTATTTGTTTAGTGGTAGTCTTGTATTCCGCTGTTATTATCTATGCTGAGTAGTTTTCTGAGATGCGTTCGGAAAGTGTCCTCTTTGTGCTGTCAGTGTAATCTGTTACTCAAAATCAAGCAAACTTATACATCCATGAATATCAGACCGACTGGCGAAGACAATTCAAACCTTAGCTAAATAGAAAGTTTTTTTCAGGGATTTTGAAATTTGTTTAATTGTAGTTACCACAGCTGTACCTCATTTAAGTTCCAAATTCATAAATAAGCTTTTTTGAACTACCGGTGATCTTAAGTTTCCATCGATGAGCCTATGTGGATAGTCATTTCTGACCAGCATTTGTAGGAGTTGAAATAATTTGTCGTTTATCCGCGTAGTCTTCGAGAATAAGGATTCAGTTAGGTTTTGTCTTTCTGCTCAAAGAGACTCAAATATGAAAATTTGTATACTGATAACTCCACGTTGGCTATGTATGCACAAATCCTTATAAAGAACCATCTAGCTTTCTCAACAGGAAATTGAGGAAATAAATTTCCACGTTCACTCCTGCTTCTAATTCAAAGTTTACTATATGATAACAGTTGTTGAATTCGTCCAAGATTTCATTATGGTCCATATTTTCTTCAGGAATAACGAAATATGGGATCTTTTTATGATGTAATCTGTCTTGTTCTTTTATAGACTCAAATATTTATTGAACAAGTATGGATATGAATGTGTAGCTTAGGTAAATAATTTCATCGAAAGGAAAATTTTCCCCACTGAATTCTCTATAATTACTATCCTTGAAATTCTTATTTGATAATTGTGTTTCACATTTTTCAATCTTAGGTGGCGGAAAGAGCCTGTGTTATCAGCTTCCAGCTGTTGTTCAGTCTGGCTTAACGGTCGTAATTTCTCCTTTAAAAGCACTAGTGTTGGATCAAGTTACAAAACTTCAGTCACTTGGTGTAAGTCTCATTTTTAAGATGTATTTTCAGTATAATTAGTGAGAGTGGTGCGAAAACTAAATAAAACGATTAAAACTTAAAATAAGAGCTGTAGTGTCAAGTATCATGCTAAATCCTCTGTAGTTGTAATTTTCTTAAACGTTTTTACCGTACTCCCTTATTGTGTTTTTTGGCTTATCATAAGAAAAAAGGGCCTTTTGCATTTTTTAACAAGTAATAAGCTCTCTGGCCAACTTTGTCACACATTTTTTGAGTTTGTATAACGTAGTCGCAGAATTTTACTTTCACTCGTGTTGAATAATAGTGAACTTTTACTGCATTTTTCGAAGTTTACAAAATTTCTATTTCAGCAAATATTCTGTTACTGCTAGTTATATTGCTTCTTGTATTTTATATTTTACTATGCTTATTTCCTCATTGTTTCTTTTGCGTAACTCTGCAGTGATGTGTAGTTTTTGCAATTTTTAAGGTGCAGTTTTTAAACTTCTCATCAGGTGGCTTGCAACTACTGAAAATTATATGATATTACAGATCGAAATTGTCTTTCTTTTATTTTTATCTTAGTATCTCAGATTTACAGTGGGATATTTTTTTGAGAACTGGTTAATCATTTTGATTATAATAGATTGCATACACATAGTTCCCCTTATTATCCTGATGATAGCAAGAACGAAGATTGATGCAGAATAATATGAATTCATATTATTTCGTTAGATTCTCGTCAGCTGACTACAACCTTTTTATTTTTATTTTACCACATGGATATTGGTACAAGGAGGCACCAAATACGTATGCGCCACACAAATCTCATTCGACATATGTGAGGGTTGTGATACTGCCCGGGTCCCCAAACTGAAGCAGGTGGTTTTCTTAGGGGGCCACATCCCGAGCCTTCGACCTGAAGGTCTGATCTACAAGACAGTGGAGCATCGCAAGGAGATGCAGTCCCATGGAAGCCGGTGACCAACAATTGGTTCATACGCAATTTGTTCCCTCAGGATACTGGAGCCAGCCCATGTGCACCATTGGTTTGGAAACCAGTTAAAGCGCCGGACATTCGCTTTTCGTCATCTCATTTTCGTAAACAACACCCCCGCCACGAGAAGGCAGTGAGTAGGACTTCCTGGCAGAGGCTATATACACGTGGCCATGTGAGAGCATTTCGAGAGGGAGTGCGGAGTCTTCCCACTCTCGGCCGTACCAGGGCATTTGGGGGCATTACAGATAGTGACATTGATTTTAAAATATTATAGGTTGTAATCAGCTGACGAGAATCTAACGAAATAATATGAATTCATATTATTCTGCATCAATCTTCGTTCTTGCTCTCTCTAATATAATATATTGCTAAATTTGATTTAAAACAGTTTTAGTTTTTGGCTTGTGTGACTAAATGGGAACATTCCATTACTTCTAATTCCTTTTATTGTGGTAGATAACTGTAGCCGTGTATTATAGACATAAGCTCTCTTAACTATTTATCGAGATGACTTTGTTTACGATCAATTTGCCTTTTTTCTTGTAGTTTCATTCATAACAATTTTGTCTATACTGCCGATTTATTAAAAATCATCCTGGGATTAGAAGTGTACACACCTTTGCTTATTTTTAGGTTCCAGCGGCTCATCTGACAGGTGAGGCCAGTCTCTCCGAAAGTGACCAAGTATACACTGCTTTACATATGGCCAATCTCCGCTTAAAACTTTTGTATGTGACACCAGAGAAAGTATGTTCTTTTTTACGTAAATCACACACTCCTTGATATAAGTTTGTGCTATAATACATTGAAGTATATTTTAACTGTTGTTAAATTATGTCTAACACAGTATACATGTCATCATATAGTAACCGAAAAATAATGTGGTAATTAGCCTTTAGGTACGTAAAAGTGAAGTATAATCACTGTGTTAAGCGTCAGCCTTTTGGTTAGGGCTATGGATTTCAACCTTTAATTCTTATATCTGAACCCTGTCTCACTCGTTTTATTTAGGAAAGTTGGGTGGCATCATTAGCCTTTATGCAGACGTTCTGCTCAAAACCAAGTATACCAAGCTGTTTGGTAAATAAACTACATTGTCTTAGTATTAAGGATGTTGATATTCTGCTCTGCATTTTCTTGAATGTATGTTCCTCACATTTCATAAAGTTTTTCGTTTCAACCTGATCTGTAGTACTCGCAGTGTATATAAGTCTCTTTAAAGTTTTCATGGTGCTCTCAAAAGGGAGACGAAATAATGTAGGAATAACCGTTTCAATTACCAGCAGTAGCTACTATATACTGTTCCAGGACCCAAAGGGTTGACTTGGTTCAAGTCATTTATTTGGTAAGTAGCATATCTCTAGAGAATCTCCAAAGAAATCAGTAACATTTAGTGGAATACTTCGAATGGTATTTCTTCAACATCTAAGGTGTTGATGAGTGTTTTTCGGAAAATCTTCGATTTCTACTAAAGAATTCCTGCTATGTCTGTGTCTTAGTAGCACCATTACTTTTTATTATTGATGGTGTAGTTCTTTTTATTGTGTTAACATCAGGTATAATTACCTTTACCACATAACCTATGGTATGAGACTGCTTAAATAGTAACTTCTCAAATTTTTCGTAATAAATTTCTAGATCGCTGCTTCTGATAAGCTGAAAGGATGCCTAGAACAACTGTACAAACGTAAACGTTTAGATCGTTTTGTGATCGATGAAGCCCACTGTGTCAGTCAGGTGAGTCTTTTAGTAACAATACAGTGGTTGAGATCCACAAAACCCCTTCTGATAACAATACATTGCACACAAGTAAAAGCTATCCGCATGTTTTTTCTCACATTTTTCTTTTCTTTTTGTGAATCAATCAATCTGTTTATTTTTTGCTGTCTGATTGTATTTTTTACTATTGATAGTGGGGGCATGATTTTAGACCAGATTATAGAAATCTAAGCATTCTACGAATCAATTTCCCAGACGTACCGATGATGGCCATGACTGCTACAGCTACACCAAAAGTTCGTCGAGATATTCTACTTCAGTTGAAAATGACAAATACTAAGTGGTAAGTTATTTTTGTTCATAATTTCATCTCTATGAGCGGTTCAACAATTATAGTCAATAAAATCGTACTGAGTAATGTAGGGCCCCCAAATGCCCTGGTACGGCCGAGAGTGGGAAGACTCCGCACTCCCTCTCGAAATGCTCTCACATGGCCACGTGTATATAGCCTCTGCCAGGGAAGTCCTACTCACTGCCTTCTCGTGGCGGGGGTGTTGTTTACGAAAATGAGATGACGAAAAGCGAATGTCCGGCGAATCCATGGTAGTCGGTGACGAACGGTTGGTTCATACGCAATATGTTCCCTCAGGATACTGGAACCCATGTGCACCATTGGTTTGTAATCAGGGTTTTCTAACTCCCCTAGGTGAACTCTTCGTGTCCACCAACCCGGTTAAAGCGCCGGACATTCGCTTTTCGTCATCTCAATTTCTTAAAAGTAACCCCCGCCACGAGAAGGCAGTGAGTAGGACTTCCCTGGCAGAGGCTATATACGCGCGACCATGTGAGAGCATTTCGAGAGGGAGTGCGGAGTCTTCCCACTCTCGGCCGTACCAGGGCATTTAGGGGCATTCTATTAGATTATAAGTGCTTAAGTTCATTAATTTAAGAGGGTCGGCTCTTTAGGCTTGCGTTCATCAGTTACAGTACTTCTAACTATTTGGTATAAAAGAACTTATAAAATTTTAGTTTAACTTGTGCTCAGATATTCGTTGCTCTTGTCCTTCTCTATTTATAACTCAATAATTTACATATTCTATCTTCGTTCCTACGGTCATTCGTTTAAAATCACCTCTGTCTGCTATCTGAGCAGCAAGATTTTGTAAAGAAAGTTCACAGTCTCAAGTGGAAAATTTTTCGTGAACAAAACGTTTTTACGCACAGTTTTAAGTTTTCTACAACTTACTGAAACATATTTTATCCTAGCTATTTTTAATACACAGGTTTATTCAAAGTTTCAACCGTGCGAACTTAAGATTTGAGGTTCGACCAAAAAAGCTTAAAAATTGCACAAAAGAGATTATTGATGTTATACTTAACGAGTTTCCTAAACGATCAGGAATCGTTTATTGTCTATCACGTCGAGAATGTGATGTCGTAGCTGAGGAGCTGAAGGCCGCTGGACTTCAAGCTTCCGCCTATCATGCTGGAATGACAGATGCTCAGAGGCGAAATGTTCAACAGGCATGGATACAAGAAGATAAATGTAAGGCAAGTACTCTTTTAAGTCATACCACCTAGTTTTTTTCCGAAAACAATAGATTTAAAAAAACATGCACTTAATATATTCTTGATTCACTTTCGAACTAAAGAATTTCGAACCCTGTGTAGGTTTGTCTAAAATAAACTACTTTTTAGTTCTGTTTAGATGTTTGTGACTCTTTTCCTCTATTTATTTTTTAAACAGAAAGCTGTGAGTAGAAGCTTTTTACACATTAGTTTATCGCTTTTTCCCTAAAAAAAAACGAGAAACCAACAAAACTAGAAGGCAATCTGAATTAACGGAAACTCGAAAACTTGTAGAGTATCAGGAATTTCTGAGTTCATAAATAAAAAAGATATATGTAATTATTTGACCGTCAATCGTGTTTTGTAAAGTTCTCGACCACTGTGTCTGGTAGAATATTTTTGACATCAGACAAAGTTTACTGCCTGACCGATTCAACGCCTTGTTGATGTCTATTTACATCTCTTAAGGATTCACAAAGCCTTCTTCTCATAAACATTATGTTTCTACAGGCTCCCTACAAGGTTTGTTTAAGGATCGATGAACATTGTGGTCAGAGTCTATCAACGGTTTGGAAGCAACATCTACATCTGGTAACTACCTGAAGTTGTGTCAACTCATTCAATTCACTAGCAGCAAGAAGCCTGATGCCACTGAAACGGTTTATGAAGTTAATGAGACACGAAATTAATAATATTCAAAGGCGTCTGATACAACAGACAGGGTTTTTCGAGGAGCGGTTCAGCTAGTCTATTTCCCCGGCAACGTCAATCAAACTGTCCTGTCTTCTCTGACCGATCCATTTTTACGAAACGGAGGTCCGTAAGGAACTCTAATATTTAAGGCGTCTCAAACTACGTCAGTCAGTCAGTGAGCTACAACGTAGCAGCAGGCATATATATGCATCGGTCCAAGTTGCCATACCTCATTAGCACAACAAGATGAACACCAACTTCATAGAAGTAGTTAATTCAACGGTGATAATATGTAACAAAAGGATTGCATATAAGGATATAGTACAGGAAGGAAGAATTAGTTGATAGAAAGATATAAAGCGATTTTATTATCATAGTTTAAGGGAAGACGGAGAGTATTTGCACTTACGCCATTGTGATCGATTCTGAGCCATATCACCCAGTCTCCAACCATTGGTTAAGATAGTCGCGCAGAACCAAACAGGACTATGTCATCTGCGTGTCCTAAGTCAACAAGTGGACCTCCTGGTTGGAGATCGGTTCCCTGAAATTCAGTTGACGGGAACGTTCTTTTCAGCAATAGATCTATGATGAAATTAAATAACAATGGAAATAATAGATAATCTTACCGGACACCACTTGAAATTGCGAAATCGGGTTTAAATTTTCCATAAAATCTGAGTTGACTGGTAGTGTTCGAGTAAAGAACTTTCACATGTTTTATGTACTTCTGAGATACGCCTCTCAATGACAGACACTGACACAGAACCTCTTGGTCTACGGAGTCAAATGCTGCTTTCGAGTCGAGAAAAACCATTTTTCCAGACTCTGGTAAGCAAACCTGTGTTTTCAGCTCTGACATGTGATCGGTTCAGCCACGATCAAATACGAAGCCAGCCTAATTTCCCCATATATTCAGTTCATGAGTCTTTGTTAGACACCCGATAATTATTGAGGCCAGTATTTTAGACGCTATATTAGTCAAACTAATCCCTCCATGGTTATCACATGATGATTTTGATCCCTTCTTATGTTTTGGGACAAACAGTGGTTGCGACCAGTTTGATGGGATCACATCTAGTTCTCAGATTTTAGCTGAAATATTAGTCAGCCTAGTCGCTAAAACTGGACCACCCTCTCTTGAGACCTATGGAACCAATCCATTTAGACTCACTGCTCTTCCGCGTTTCAGATTAGCTGTAGCCTTTTGAACTTCAGGTAGAGTCGGGGTACCTACTTCAATGTTCCATTCAGGCTGTCTGGGAATGGAGGATAATTGTAGAGTAGCTGAAGGCCAGCTAAACTCTTCTCTATAGTGTTCCGACCATCGATCTAAACGTCCGGACTAGGTGGGAGCAGATGAGAGTGTCGTCTTTTTCCGAGATAGTCTCACTTACACCGGACTTCTAAATTCCGGTTTCTTTTATTAGTCCGAAAAAGCTGTTTATCGTAACCCTTTGGTTCAAATCGCCAATAGATATCGCTGTCGTTTTCACGGCTGTCCCTATATCTTTCCGAGCAACACCTGGTTTAACCTCGTTGTCGGAATTGCCTAAGTGTGACTTCAGTTGTTTCTGGAATTTGCTTTTGCCCTACTCATCGCTAAAATAAATTCTAGTGGATTTACTTAATGTGGCTTTTCTGTATCCAATGGGGTGCCAGCAAATGCGTACTCGTTTTAGAACATAGTCGGAATCTAAACATGTACTCCGGAACGAGCGACAGTCTTCTATCGTGCCTTTCCAACGATGACTGATGGCAATATGGTCTATTTTGGCCCATCGTTGGTTTGGTGCAGAGGCTCGTCATGTTAGACGATGTCTCCTTATGTTTGCTAAAACCAAACGTTTGTCTGACTACAGTTGCAGCAGACGACCACCATTATCTCTTCGCTGAGCTCAAACTACGTAATCCGGAGCATTTGACCTTTACTCTTAAGGACGATAGTAGACTTCTTGCTAGGGAACTGATTGAGTTGTTTGGGAAGAATTGTCAAATAAAAACTGCTCCAACATCCTAGAATAAAACGACCATCGTCTCCTTTAAAAAACGACTACATCATTCATAAAATAACTCATGTATATTGGGTTCGAAATATTGGCTTTCACTTTAATCTGGAGATTGTGCAAAACCTGTAAAAGACTGACTGATTAGTCTTGTCGATTGAACGCTATATTCTTTTCCTTAGCTATTCTGGTAACCCGCAAGCTAGAAGTACACAGCAACCTGAACACCAAAGAGAAGACACAAGTATGTGAGAAATACTTTACTCCAAGGTTCGTTTTTGTACAGAAAATCACGGGTATTTATAGATGTTAGCGTTTGTTAAATCAACATCATTTTCCGGACGATCCGTCAGCGACATCTTATGCTACTGACCAATAGTAGCACGCCACGTTGGAATTCTAAAATGCTGCATCGTGCTCTGATTGGCTAGGACTCTTCGGCTCCTTTTGGGCCTCTGGAGGCTCCGTTGAAGTTCTCCGAAAGCCGACTCAACACTGACCCTCTGGAAAATGTCTGGTTTTGACCACATTTTCACCTTCTACCAAATGTAAGAATACTTATTTTAATCCCCCGATGATTGCGTTTCTTGATATCAGAGTCGCCTTCGATGCGACGAGACTATTCTCTGAGATTGTCTGATTAAGATAGGTGTACCTGAAAGGTTTAGCCATATCTAAAAGCTATTTTACACAAGTAATTTAATCAGAGTGAGAGGGATTAACCATCGTTTTCCACTATCACGCACTTCTGTCCACAGATTCACCGGGCTTAAAAACCTCAAAACCATTGATCATTTACCCCTGCTGTAATTTAAAATTACGTTACATATAATCTTGCTTAGGATACCAGTATGTTCATTTTTATAATAGTTACCCATGTTAATCGTTGTTATCTTAACATTCTTACGATACAATACACATGTCTTACTTTCAATATATGAAAAAGGACCAACAACAACGATGTAACGACAAAAAGTAGGCTAGTTTTGCAAATGCTCATTGTCATATTAGATACATTAATATTGTTAAGTTACACTGTCATGTCGTTTAGTTGTTTAAGTTTTCAACAATTCCAGAGGTATACATGCAAATAATCTAAATGCATTAATGAATCCAATGTTGATGTCAGATTCATCTTGATCAATTTTTAGCATTAATAAGAACCGCTTAACAATAATCTAAGATCAACTTCTGGTTTACATTGTATTCATAAAAGTTAATTTAAGGTAGTCGTATTTTAAATTTGTAGATTGTATGCGCAACTATTGCTTTTGGTATGGGGATAGATAAACCAGATGTTAGATTTGTTATTCACCATTCCTTGCCAAAATCAATTGAAGGTTATTATCAAGAGGCTGGACGTTCAGGAAGAGATGGATTACCCTCGACATGCATTCTTTATTATCATTGGCATGATGTTGTCAGATTACGGAAGCTAATACAAGGTTATGTTAAGTTGTGCTTGGGAAAAATTTTAAATTTTATTTAATCTAAAATATGCCTTAAACCATTTTTTTCTCAAATGTTTATCCATTTTCTTATTGACTGAAAATTATATGTTTTTGTTCATGTCTTGCAAGTTTGTCAACTGCATGTTAAGAATGAATAATATTCCACGTTTGACATATGTTACTGTTGCACGTCAATATATAAGTCCAGTTTGCTTAACATATAAGCTGAAATTCAATATTGTGATCCCACTGTAAATTCGAAAAAATATTGTACTAGACAACCATTAAGTATTACACAATATTCAATAATCCTTCAATTGATATTGGATTATAATGCAAACTAAATTAAAATGTATTGCAGACATTTTTAAATAATTAACCAGAAAACCTTTGTACAAAATAGACAGGCTGTATTTCCCAGTGTAATAGGGATGCACGCTTCATTGTCTTTAGAACTCATTAGCTGGATGTATCTAAATGCCAGAGTTGATGTACATGGTTCTAGTCCCGGAGCAAGCACCAACTCTGGGATGAAAGTACATCCAGCTGACGAATCCTAAATAAGGACGAAACCTGCGTCCTGGATTCCACTGCTGGCCTCAATCCATTTATCGTGAACCAACTTGTGTCTTAATGGTTATATTGAGATATTTCGCATAGAATGCACATATGCCAACTAAGACCAATTAAATATATATATGCATTTGTCTTGTCTTGTAAATTTGTTACCAGCATATTGCAGCCATACTCGTTACATATAGCTGATTGTACGTAAAATCGCATTTGGTTATTGCGTTACATTATTTCTTTGTTTAACGTAAAATATAGTTTTGATTAATTGGTTGATTACTTTAGCAGTAATTTACTGTTCCTTGCTAAGCTTTGTGGGGAATTTAATATTTGTAAGGTAATCAGTTTTACTATAGTCTGACATTGACGGTTACTTCCTATCCGATAGCTATTTAACAATCGTAGATAATTTCTATTGAAACGAAATGATAAGAATGTGAAATTCAGCCTTGTGATTTCATTATTTTGATTTCTTTACATAAAATGTATTATTTCGACTTGGTTGCTAGTCACCTATCAGTTATTCTACGATCACTTACTGATCATAATAAAATCCTACATTGTTCAACTAGTACCGTTGTTTTTTAGGTAGTGTTTATCATTCCCTAGCTTTCATACTGGTTAACTAATAGTTTTGTAAACACTACTTACTGTATTCAAATGTTTCTTAATAATCCAGGCGATGGATCTTCTTCAGTAGCTAGAGGAACTCATCAGTTTCACGAAGATGCACTTTATCGTATGGTTTCTTATTGTGAAAATCAAATTGACTGTCGTCGTAAACAAATGCTATCACATTTTGGTGAAGCATTCGATTCAGCTACTTGTGGAACTATAGTTGGTTGTTTGTGTGATAATTGTCAGTTGTCTGATCGAAGACGCCTAGAACACAGAGATGTAACAGAAGATGCTATTAAAATAGTTCATACAGTTGAATTGTTTGTACGATCACGACGCAATGTGACAGTGAATTATCTTGTGGATATTTTTCGAGGTAGATCATATTATAAAACGCTATAATTCTTGTATGTTACATTATTTGTTTGATATTATTACATACTGATACATTAAGCCTGTAGAATTTATGTCATCTGATTTATCCAGTGTGGTCAAAATCAGAGTATTATGGCTTTGACTGAACTGTCTAATATTTATGCGTGCAGTATGTTAGAGAGAGAAATACTTATTTTTCGCTTTTGCAACAAGACGAGTTAAATTGTTGTTTTCTGAAATGATGATTATTAATCTCAGTTTGTGTTAATGAGAAAATAGAATACAAATAAGATAATGACAATCAGGATAAATGGGAAAACTTAATTTTAAATTAAAAGAAATAGTCCTTACGTTTTAAGTTACATTGTGTGACTTGAAGTTAATTCAACGATAAAATCTTCGCTATCTTAATAAAGAGTGCTGTGAACATCAACTAAGCAATTTGTTTTATTCTTATAATCATGTCAACTTTTTAGTGACATTACTATTGTGTGAAGTGAGAGACCAATGAAATTATAATAAAGAGTACACATCTTCCTATGTCAATCTGAAACATGTCATTAATCTTTTCTTTTTTGATCAGGAGCAAAAACCAGTCAAATTCAAAAAAGTGGTGATGAATCAAATCAAATATATGGACAAGGTTCTGCTTATTCAAAAACAGATGCTGAGAGACTATTCCATCGCCTTATTTCCGAACGTATCTTGTATGAAGAGTTGGCAGTTACGCAACTAGATCATGTTGTTGCCTACGTTCGTCTTGGATCAAAATCAACAGGATTACTAAATGGTTCTATTAAAGTGAGTTGTTTTTAGTATTATTGATTGATATAAACTTCGAGATTATAAGAAGTAATGGACTATTCCTTTAAAATCTAGAATTGACCTCAATTAAAGGAAAGTTGGAAACCAGGGATTAGGGAACGATTTCTACATTCATTTTACGAACTATTTTTGGAAGCATGTATCCTCAACTTCATGCACCTATCGAACTAGTACTTCCCGTGATGAGCGGACTGCCATTTTAACATTGCATCAAAATTCAGTGGTCTACATTTTGGCTAAGTAATGTGCATTTTTAAAATCAAAACCTGAACTGAACAATCATTTTTGTGCTCCCTTGTTTTCAGTTGTTTACCAGGTAGTAATAATAATTAGTACATTAATTAATTTTCATTAGATTAGACCTTCACAAAACCAACCAGCTGAGTTGGTGCATTAGCTGTTTAGGGATCAGTGTTTATAAAATAAAAATCATATAGATACTTTTAACGTTTTGAATTCAGTTTACAACTCAATTCAACTAAAGAAAATTTAGTATTTGTGAGTTGACGGACTGAGTATTTATTGATTATTGTGATTATTTATTGTCTCATTTTTGGATCAACAAACACATTACCTGATTTTTATTTATAGATTACTTTACCAGTTTCTATACCGAATCGATCAGGACATAGTGAAACTAATGTTGTTGGTCGCCCACCGGAAGATCGTTATGCCAGTGTTCGTAATCAATGCTATGAGGAATTAGTTCAAGTAGCAAAACAACTTAGTAAGTCATTGTTCTACCTTTGCATTTGTGTAATTGATATTAAATTGATTTATTTTGTTCTATTAACGTCTTTTTGCTTTATAATGAATGTCTTAATTTTTACTTTGTTGAAACAATCTATAGTATTTGTTGTTGTGTTTATGAAAAACAGCCCTGTTTTTTTAATTAAAATCCAGTTTGTTTATTCGCTACCTCTCGGTTCATTTAGTCGATTTTCGGTGAGTAGGCTATGGATAGTATGTTTTACAAGTCTACCTCATTTTAGATAGTCGAATTATTTGAACCACCCGTTAAATGTTTGAGGGCTTCGTAGTCCTCTAACTCACTCTACAGATGTGAGTTATTGTAATATCTCGGGTGGATGCACCAGGTTAAAAATGGACTGTAAATAACACGGGTTACTTCTGGGTTTTTTGTATACTTCTTTGCTGTATTGATTAGTTTGAGAAGTAGTTGTGATTAAACTGAAGGATTTTTTATCAAGTATTCAATTCATTACCTAATAATACTTTTCTATTTAGAGGATATTACAACTAGTTAGTTTTGTTAGGACTTGTTTTTGACGATGTAGTGTTTATTGGCTTTGTTATGATATTCCATTTGTAATATACTATAGGGCTTACCACTGGAATGCCTTGTTTAACCTTGCATATATGTATGTAATATTTTATGGGGGGACAAACATTTTCTACTGTTTCACTAAAACTACGTACGTGAAATTTCATTCTCGTTTTATTGTCAGCTGCTCAATTGGTTTTTATTATTATTGTTATTTTTACTATACAGCGTCCGCTCAAGGGATTTCAAATTATGCTACTGTATTTCCAAATGAAATGCTATTAGAAATGGCTTCAAGTTTACCAGCTACTCGTGAAGAATTACTTCAAATACCCCAGTGTACGGATTACAAATTGAATTGTTTCAATGCAGAATCATCATTTTTAGAAATTACTTTAAATTATCTTTCAATTCTTGGTGGTAAGATACAATTGAATTAATTGACTCATCATTATATTTATTTCTTGGGTGATTTTTTTCATTTCATTCAGATTATCACTTTCGTGTGTCAGATGATGAGCATTATGAAATATAGGTAACAGAAATATTTATCTTCTATAGTTTGCTTAGCGATAAAGAAAGTCAGATCGAAATTATATACCAATGATTAACATTAACCTTTATTTTTCAATAGCAAGTAACTGTTTTATATTGTAGTTAAGCATATTGCCATCATGTTTATTCCATATGATTGATTTGTTAGTTTCATACCCGTACTACACTTTGAAAACTGTGGATGTAACTTGTTTGTTTGGGTCACACCAATTATTATTCCTTGTTTTAGGATCATTTATAGTACGATCGGAGAATTTTGACTATAAGTAACTGTTACTACGTCGTTAACAAAATAAAAAAAATTAAATTAGAATGTTGGAAGACTGGATAAGGTATTGAATAACAAAGAAAAGTTAGCACCAAACTAATTCTTATTCTTTATACTTGAAGATCATCACTTTAAGGAGATATCTTCGTCTTTCATATTAATTATTCTTTCTGTGAAAGATTAATCCAGTGCTTTGTTCGTGTATGTCTTGCTTAAAATAAAGCTTCCATACTGTTTTGATTTTTGAGCCTTAAAAGCCGAAGAAAAAGAACAAGAGGAAATGAACACTCCTCAACAATCTTTACCATTAACCAGTTCTAGTCGCGGTCGAGGACGTAGTAATTTCGCTAAACGTGGTCGTACAAAGGCTTACAGTACAAAAAAGGTTTGTAAACTTTATTTGTTTATTTTGTATTGATTAAAAAAAGGAAACCACCCACTGTTATTATTATTAGTAGCCTTATTCAATATTATACGTTTAGTACAATATAAAATTATAAACACGATATTTCCACAAGTTTCTTTTACATAAACTACCCGAAATTAAATGAAATGCTTTTTAATAAGATTAGAATCTGTACAAATTTTAATTGATTAAAATTCAGGTTACTGACCTTTAACAATCTGTTCGTCACATACTACATTTGCTAGATAAAGTGTTGTAGAGCTTTTATACCTTTGCTCGTGTGCATGGATTTTAATGTATCGACGTCTCGTTCTACCAGAAGATCAACAACAAGACATAAATAAAGTGGATGGTTAGTATCTGATAACACCTAACGGGAGTTTGCAGGATTTTAGATGTCTATCCATAATCATATTAATAATGACCTTAAAATATCCAACACACACCTTACTAACTACCTTCTGCACTCTCCGCAATATAGCAGAGTCTTCTCAAAAATCCAGGAAAGAATCATGGAGAACAGTAGTGAATAATGAGTAATATGCAAGAATTAGCAAATCGTAAATGTAAATGTCTAGTAATGCCGATAGCATGCTACCTTCTATAACAATAAAACACGACAAGGCCAATAGAGATCAGAGTAAAAACACACACCAAGATAAATGACTTTTAACACTTTATTAAAGAATCGCCAATAATACATGATTTGTGGGATCCCAACAGTATGTTTCAATGTTGTTTATGTCTCAGGCTATGGTTAACAATTTGAAATTTTCGAGGATTATGTGTGAACCCATCGTTCAATAAGAGACGAGAACGCATCAATTTCAGGGGGATATGAGTAGGTAGAATCGGCGTGCATACAGTAGGTCGTACGCATATTTAACAAGTGTTTCCTGTCGAAGATGGCAGGTCATACAGAAAAAAAGAGGGGAAGGAACAGTCCCTTGTGGCACACCTTTATCACTCAGTAGAGACATTGAGAACTTTCGTTTAAACACAGTATACTGTTTTCTTTCAGAGAAGTAAGAACACAGTCAGTTGGTTATCCAGCTACCGATGTTGACGCTGATAAACTTGTTAATTAGTGGTTGTCTTAGAATAGATTCAAAGCCAGAAGTGTAATCTAGAAATGCTGTACACTATATTATGATTCAGAAGAACCGCAGCATCTAAGGTGCTTCTTTTGTATTTGTAAGCAAACTGATATGAATTATTATACTCTTTTTGTGCACGTTGAAGTCGGAGTAGCAATATTTTTTCTAATTCTGACACAAGGTGAAGTTATTGCTATGTGTTTAAATTCTACATTTTTATCATCAGATACTTTCTTAGGTATTGGAATTATTTTTATCTTTCTCCACATTTTCGATGTGAGATTAGTTGGAAAGGATTTGTGAAAGATGCTTGTCAAACATTAACAAAGAATGTCAGCACACTTCTTAAAAAGAGGTTTGGGATTTCGTCAGGTCTTAAACGTAGGAACGAGTTAAGTGACTGGAGACATTTTCGGACATCAGTTTCAGTGAAAATTGGAAAACAATTATTCTTCAAACCTGAGGATATAGGATACATTACATCAGATGACTGACGTGCGAAAAACTTATTTAGGTCGCATACATTCATCTGGTTATCGCCTCTCACATGTAAGCTCTCAAAATATTTTTCCTTCGCTTATTGGTCTTGGATTTAACTGTATTGTACCAATAAGGTGCTTGTTTATTTGTCATCTTACTCATTCTTTTCAATTCGCATTGATTCCAGGATAATTTTAACATGAACCTTTTTAGTATTTGGTCATTGGTATCAATGTTTATAAGCCTTTTTTCCATTCAATCTTGAGCCTCAGTACTTTTTATGTTGGTTATACATCAAAATCATAAATGACACCTTATTAATCGAATATTTTAGATAACGCCAAGTGGTGGAGGCGAACGTAAACGAAGCTATCTTTTTGGTAAATATCAATTCAAATCCAATCCTAGTTCGTCAGCGTCATCCAGTAGCTCAGCAGGCTGGAAGCGGTAAAAACTTTATTCTCAAAACATGACTATTATTTTCATCTGAAATTATTTCTATACATTGTGAAGAAATAAATAACAACTCCATTTTTACTAATTTTTGCGTCCTATCCAGCTACCACTATTCAAACGGTTGTAGTTATGCGAATCGACCTAATTTCATTCATTATCTCATGTTACTATTAGTGTTCTAGTAATTTAACGTCAAGTTTGACAAACTAATTGTTCTACTCCTTTATGTTTTAGTCATGTGACCATCATACATTCTTTGGACTTATTATTTATTGACGTATAATACAATTATCACTAGAAACTGATATTATTTTAAGAGCTGCTATATATGAAGGAGCGTTTCGTGTGGTTATAAATTTCATTAATTTTGTCCCTGATCAAATAAATGCACAAGCTTCAATTATTGTAATGAACAAGTCTTTTTTCAACCTATCCTTTGTAGTCCATTAGTTGCATGTTTTTGAATTGAATGAACTTGCTACTTAGTGTTGTTGGATAAAAGCATTTTCCCTCTTATTGCTAGTTCCAGGAAATACATTAGTCTTTTTGCTCACAATATCGTACTGATCTGTGTGTAGTAGCTATTATTATGTACTTGGCATCACGGACTGATCTTAGTTAATCAACCATTGAAACCGGAAAATACTGGTCAGATATTTCTTTGTAGTATAGGACTCCCCAAATTTGCGCACACAGGAGCTTTAAGTTTCTTACCAAGCGCTTAACGTTTAGATTACTAAGCCGACATCCAGTACTTCTCTAACTTTAATCAATTCATGTACGTATGTCAGTTAATTCCACAATATCACTTTTTCATTTCTTATAGAAAAGCTCCAAGTACGTTCAACTCAAACACATTTCAACCAAAACTAATGAAACTTTCTGTAAAGCGAGATTAATTAGACGTTTTTATCGGTTATTTGTAAAGTTTTTATGCATTTTGATGTATCAAAAGAATATTTAATTTAAAAATATTCGTGTTTCCTTTTTTCTTTAAAAAATATATCTGGGTTGAAATGTTACTTAAGACTAGTATTTTGTAAATTTAAATGAAAAAAACTCAAGTCTATCAAAGATCCTTATGATTGCAATGTGAGTGGACTTTTAAACTCACATTCTTTGTTTTGACAAAACACTAATACCTTACACCGGTTAACGTACTATCGTATCAGTGTGCAGTGTCTGTAAGATGGTGACCAATCAGATTCTTCTACTTCCTCTCTGGAAAACAATCTCATGGATAGGTTACTTTGCCTGTAAACGTCAGTAATGATGCTTCTATCTGCATGAAAAAAAGTTAAAAATACCTAGCTAACATATTTAAAAAGTAAAATGCAATGCAGATTGTGTTCGTAGTGTAACGTCGTTTACACGTTTCTGTATTTCGTTTTCATCTCATTTCTCTCTGAAATAATGCTTAAGTTGTCTTATCATTTATAGAAATTACTTTACTAGTGCAGCGAGCACTTATTTCACGAAGTTTAAGAATTACATGCCTCATACTTGACACTGTCAACATACTGGGATTATTAATAAACTTGTTTTGTAAGATATCCGTCAGTAAGCATCCATAGTCGATTAGATAGTTAATTTTTGATGCGTTATGTAAAGTTGATAGTCATTATAATTCCAGTAAAACAATAATATTCATAACTAGGATACTGAAAGATCAGTATAAATTTCTTAGTATGATAAAAGTTCAAATGAACTATCATAGTTCAGTAAATAAATACCAATACGATTTTAGATTATCTCTGGTTTAAATATTTAGATCTATCAGCTAGTTTCATATCTTGGTAAACGTGGTACTATCATTTAAGAGATGAAATTCAATTTGTTAGTAATAAATATATTCTTAAGTATGGCTTACTGATGTACAATTGGTTCCTGATAGATTACTTGTTTTACCAGTAACACCATACAAGTGTAAGAATACTGTGCATTCAGTGGTAGGGCTGCAAGAATTAAATTACTATTTCAGAGAAGTGAACATATGAAATGTGACTATTGAACACTTAGTACTTTATATTTTTAAACTAGCAATACAAACTAAATCTCTGTATTGATGGTGGGGTGACCTATATTTTAAAAAAATAAATGATTCAAAGCGAGCAACCTATCTTCGTGGGAAAGTGTTTCGTAAGTGCGCTCACACTACTGAAGACACAACAGTTGATGATAGGAGAGATACCTCTTGAAAAATTCATACAATACATTTAATAGAAAACCGAATAAGTGTACACTTCGTTCGTATTCAATATGGCCGCAATGTCAGACTTAGTTATGAAATGAATAGGTTAACCCAACATATTTTCAAATAGTGATGTGAGAAATTCGGATTGAAGAAACAGAGTGTAACATCTAAGACATTGATTTCCAATGTAGATCTCATGATTCGCTAACACAGTTGGATATAACAATAAAGTTATTATTGAAGATATATCGATATCTTGTACAACTTTGTTTCTTCATATTTACCGATATACTATCATTTAGAAAACCTTTGTTTGTTATAGATAGCATTACAATAGTGATTTATTCTCAGGTTTTGCGCTCTATTCTTTCCAAAATTGCGTAATCAAAATTTTAGGTAAACAATTATAGGATCATATCTTATGATTGAGGTCACCACAAGTATGCTAATGTTCATAACGTTCCTTTGCTATGTTTAGAAATCCACGAATCCCGCTTATTTATAACTAGTAATAAGAGACATATTTCAGACGATTTATTTCTGAAGGAAACACGGGTAAGGAAAACATTTTTCATGTGTATGAGGATTAACTAAGCTCTTTAATGCTGTATACTGATTGAAAAGTCACATAGGTGTAAAACAAGACTCCCAAAATGGGTGAACTACCTGAAATCTTTGGCTAAAATTATTAATACACAATCTTGCTTGTTATATAATTTGTACATGTGTATTAGTCAAAATGTCATGAAATCAACCATCATGCTGCCTTTAACTAAAAATAATCAGTTGAAGTTATGAAACAAAAGATGAGAATAATAAAGAGTTTATTCCACTTTTCAACAACTGATCTATAATGAGGCTAATTCTGGTGGAAGCTCAAGCTGTGATAAATCACGGAAATGTAGTAACAGCGCCATCATTTTTGTCAATCGTGGTACAGTGGATGAGACACCGGAATAACCCATAGAGTTCGCAGTCACAGAGCCTTTACCCTCTTCTGATGTATCGATTTCATCTCCTGATGATTCGATATGTCGAAGTATAGCTCGATTTAGTGCTCCTGCAACCACTTCAGCGTGTTGAGGACTAAGCAGCTTGCCATAAATACTTTCAGCAGGATTATCAAAAGCTAATAGTGCCATAGTATTTTGCATTTCATTCAATAATTGAGGATGTTCTGATAACCGTTTGGCTACTGGATCCGCTAAATACGACTGGGCAAATATAAGGGCTTCTTCTAAACGCTTGTTCCGAATAAGTTCTAGCATTTGCAGCTGCCGAAGCTAGTCGTAAAAACAAGAATTTTTAGATATTATTTAGAGATAAAGAGTGGGAAATTTAGTTAATCTACGGTCTAAACTTCAGAAATAAGTAAGCTTTCTTTAGCTTTCGCTGTCATATGAATTAAAGACTGTGAAATTGAATTGTTAAGGTTATCTTATAAGTACTTTACAATATATTTCACTCCTCCTTCTGTAATATGATAATGGATAAAATTCAGTCAAGGAAACCAGTCAAGATACAGAACATGACACTACTATTTTGTGATGTAAATATGTAAATTATCAATAATAAATTACATCTTACCTATTAAATTAGCGTGTGTGTGTGTGTGTGTGTGAAAATTCGGAGGATACAAAATAAAGCAAATATGCTTCAGCTTACAACATTTGTTGTCCTTACCTCATAATTGAACTGTGAGAAATTGTTTGATATTGACAGTGGCCATTCGATTAATCATTATGACAATGAGTAATCTGTCAGATAATCATTACACTGACCTGTTATAGGCTTTTAGAAACAACGTACCGATAAGTATATTCGGCTTTAAGAGTCCAATTATATTAAAATGATGATGAAACATATAAATTAAAGCATGTGAAAATACAGTTTATTGTGACAAAGGTCTTTCATGGAGTTTAGTAACAACTCCATTCTGCATTACGCTCTATCTATTACGATTTCGGAATTGTAAGAACACAAAAAGATTATAGTACCTACGCCTAGTTCTATTGACAGTAGTTCAAACAGAAAGATTTGTACCTAGAACTTCCTGGCACTTTGATCAACTGAGATGACTGAATGTGTCATGCATTCTCAGTCATTGGTCACATTTATGCACTATTCTGGAATAAGCTTACAAGTCCTCAAGGGTAGCCAGAGAAATACATGATATAAGCTTATGAAATTAATTATCTACATATTCTGGAGAAAAATGTGGACCTTTACGACATGGCAGGCGAAATCGTAGTGAATAATGATTGCTTACTTTAAGTGACATAGATCATGATTGTACGTAGATGTGCAAACGAACTTATTTCGAATCTTTCCTGATATTTTCGAAGTATTATTATCCAGCATTTTTATTCCTTCGAACGTGTTTGCCTTTAATGATATTTTAAACCATTCACTTTCCCGCTGCTTGGACTGATATATGTGCAAAGATTATTAGGGAAACCAATCTCAACAGCACTACTGAATCTCAATGTTTACTTGGTTTCCTTTTATTTCAATAGTTTTCTACTTTGGTTATTTTCTATACTTAGAGAGTCGACGTTGTTCAGTTGTTACTTTGAGCTGAGGTATATTTAACCAGTCCACTACTTTTCTATGGAGTTTTGGATTTCTTTAGTTTATAGGTGCTATTCATCACAGACTGACCCTAGTTGGCGCACCACTGAAAAGCAAGAAACACTGGGGAGCTTCTACAGTTCCAGCTAGTGATTAGTCTAGCATAACATATGGATGATCCATCAATTATAAACTTGTATGGATAGTATTGAGACTTTACACAGGTAACGCGTGTCAAATATTATATTCAAAGGACTGACATGAGATAGGTAGTATATCTTACCTGAAAGTAGATAAAAGGGTTTTTATCAAAGAGTTCAGGCCATAATCGATTCACTGTATCAATAACGTCTTCGATTTTCCTTAACAAAACTGCTTCACGAATCCACATACGATCATTCAAACTTGCACCTGCAACTTGCAACTCATTTAAAGGCTCTACAATTCCCGTCTCACGACTAAATTTTTCAGCAACATCTTTGTAACCTTCAACGACTAAATACTCCAAGATGAGTCGATTTATTTCTTGTCTAGTCAAACTGAGTCCATCTTGCCCTTCAATGGGACCAAGAGTGTGAAGAGGGACACCAATCGATAATGTATTACTTGACATATCAGTCCCAACTGTACTAATAGGTGCTAATTCAGTTTGTCCAGAGTTCACTTCTGTATGTGGAGTAGACATAGGTCTTAACAATAAGGTCAATAACAGGAAAAATTATGCCTAAATAGCGATCACCAGAATGTAAATAGGCGTATTAATCAATAAAAATCAATCCCATATATGCCAAAAACCTGATCAAAATTTAGCTATTCAAAATTCTAAAAATATTTGAGCATGTAAAAAGTGCGCAAGAATACACAACATTAAAAAACTATTTACTTAAAGAAACTGAGTAAATAAGCTTTTAAAGTTTTGATTACGAGTTATGACTTAAAGTTGCAAACTTCGTATTGCTAAACAAAATAATATAACTCATGTACCCTATCACGTAAAACTATTTGTTAAGATCAGTAACGGTTTCTGTGAAAAAGTATTTTGTCTGTATTTTAGGAAAAAATCGGACTACTTCTGCAGTACATCAAAAGTTAAATTAATAGTCATCTAATAGGATGTCGTTATACATCTTGTGC